CAGGGTTACGAGATGATCGGGTGAGTTTCGGATAGGTTTGAGTTGTGTTGCGCTCGTTTTTCTTATGTTTCAACGTTGTTTCTTCAAGCTTAAATGGTACCACATTAAACAAATGAGCTCCAATTTCTGTTTTGATTGAATAATTAGATCCGTATCATAATTAAGGAGCCATAGCAGAAAGAATCGTCAAATTTGGACATCGTATTAGGATTTTATGGTCATTTTACTAAAAATTGGGCTGCCAGATTTTTCAGATTAATTACGAGATTGCCACTGATTTCGTATTTAAAAATCTGCACTATTTCCAAAAACTAAAACCAACATATCTCCTTCATTGTAAGGTCAAATGGAGTGATTCAAAAGCCTAACATGACTGAAATTTCACAAGGAATCCGTTGGAGGAATCAAAAGTGAGTTTCGGGATTATTTGGTACGCAAAACAAGGCAGAACAACAAGGCAAAAATACTTAATATCGAAAGTTTGTTCATTTGGTCATATTTTGAGTTGTGTAGCTCGGATTAGGACAATTTTTGGGGGTGATTTTCACTATATAGATTGGATAAGTGTTCTATACTCGATTTTTTGTTATATTTTATAAATCAATTTTTGTTTTAGGCATTTGATTGATGATTTCAAAGTGAAATTTGGGGGTTTTGTTTAAAATTTCAATAAAGTGAATTTTTGAGTTTTGAATATCGATTCGGAGTCAGATTTGAGTGAAACTAGTATGGTTGGACTCGTAACTGAATGGGTGTTCGGGTTTTGAAAATTTTGTAGGGTTCCGAGGTGCGGGCCCGTGGAGTTGACTTTTGTAGACTTTTTGCAAATTATATCAGGATCATAGCTTTGTTAATTGAAAATGTTTTCACTTGCAGTGTTTGATATATTTAAGTCTTCTTTGGCTAGATTGGGCCGAGCGATGGTGAATTGGTAAAGAAAAAGCTAAATTGAGTATTGAGTTGGCCGAATTGAGGTAAGTATCTTTCCTAACCTTGTGTGGAGGACTTCCCTTAGGATTTGAGTCTTCTATGCTAATTGTAGTCCGTGTACGCGATTTAACAACATAGTGCGTGCTCGGGCTTAGTTGAATATCGATTCGGAGTCGGATTTGAGTGAAACTAGTATGGTTGGACTCGTAACTGAATGGGTGTTCGGGTTTTAAAAATTTTATCGGGTTCCGAGATACGGGCCTGGAGAGTTGACTTTTTGCAAATTGCATCAGGATCATAACTTTGTTAATTAAAATTATTTTTTCTTGCATTGTTTGATGTATTTAAGTCTTCTTTGGCTAGACTGGGCCGAGAGATGGTGAATTGGTAAAGAAAAAGCTAAATTGAGTATTGAGTTGGCCGAATTGAGGTAAGTATCTTGCCTAACCTTGTGTGGGGGACTTCCCCTTAGGATTTGAGTCTTCTATGCTAATTGTAGTCTGTGCACACGAGGTGACGAGTGCGTGCTCGGGCTTATTTGTGAAAAATTTGCCTTTTAGGGTTCTTAGGTCATTATATTCACTAAGTGGGAAGTTGTCCTGATATGATTGAGTTTCCTACTTGCTAGTTTTACCTCTACCATGCTCTATATGATGTTGTTAGAACTTCTTTACCTCTTGCTTGTTATTTGGCCCTTATTTGCCTTAATTGAAGTGATTGCCTTCCTTATTATTTTTGTTACTTCTTAATTGTGAGTTCCTCTATGACTTTGTGCATATATGCTACATGTCCAAATTATTGTGGTTGCCTATGTAGTTATCACGTGCCTTACATGTCTTGTTATTTTTGTAAAGATGATTGTACTCCTTTGATTTTTACATGATTCTCTTGTTGCCGTGTACTCATGCTCTTGGCGGTAGAAATCCTTGTAATTGAGTTGTTGATTTGTTGTTGTTAATTTAAATTATATACGATGGCATCGGGTTGCTCACCGCAACCGGAGGAATAAGGGTAATATATTGAGGAGGAATAAGGGTGAATTGATATTATTCGGTGGGATCGAATTGCGCGCCGTAACATATTATATTTATTGTTATGATATTAATATTGTACGGAGGGATCGGGTTGTATGCCGCAACAGGAGGAATAAGGGTGAGGAGGAATAAGGGTGAATTGATATTATATGGTGTGATCGGGTTGCGCGCCGCAACATATCTTGTATTTTGGTATCCCCTGTTTTACTGTATTGACTTTAGTTCATTCATGCAAGACTTTGAAAATTTGTATTTCTGGTTTTCACTGAGTTTTGAGGATCGAGTTATTGTCATTGACTTATTGAGTTGCTGTCATTTCCTGAGTTCTTTTCCTAATACTATTATTCTGGTGAATTAATTTTCAAAGTAAATTTACTATGTTGAGTCATTTCCTCATGCCCTGCTGAGTCGTTCGTAATATCTTGATTTAAAATGAAGGAATTAACATCATGCTTCCTTGTGTGCCTTTAAGTTAGAACTCGCCGTATATTTTAGTATCTACTATTTTTAATAATCATTATAACTTTTTATTTTAATTGCTACCCCAACTTCATCTTCTTCACTTGCCTAAGTTTTTCTTCTATTTTATTTTAAAAGGAACGTTATTATGTTTTAAGTTAATAAATATTAAAGGCAATAGCTTATTCGATGTCGTATTTTTATTTAAAAAGGATATTTTCTTCACTCAAATGATTTCTAAAAATAACTTTATCTTTTCTCGCTGATTTCCTATTGGGTCTAGAAACCGTATATTTACTTTATGATATATAAATGGGACTCTTGAACATCTTAATTTGCATTTGTTACGGATATTATGTACTGAGTAGCACGTGGATTTTGTCGTGCAAAGTGAGATGAAGATATGTGGGCACAAGGTGATATGTGTGTTAAAGATTTGGAAGTTGTGATTTGATATGAGGTTATGAGGATTGGGATGGTTGGAATTTGTGCATTACAAATGATACAATTGGTTGAGTTAACATCACTTTCCTTATTTGAGCACATTTTTACTTGCATGTTTCCCAACTGTGTTGGTGTGTAATTGCTTGGTTCTTTTCTTTTTTGTTACCATCCGTATTTTTCCTTTATCGTCTTTACTGTTTGTAATTTAACATCTTTATGCTATTGGCATTACTTGGTTATCTTTATCTTGTTAGCTGTATGTCATATCCTGATCAATTTATTAGACCAGTAGGTGTCTTGACTGTTCCTCGTCAGTGCTCCACCGAGATTAGTCTTGATACTTACTGGACACCGGTGTGGTGTGCTCATACTACACTTCGATATATTTTTTTTGTACAGATACAGGTATTCGGTCGTTAGTAGCTGTACGGATTTTTGCCGTGGAGACTCAAGGTAAACCTGCTGCTGCATTCGCAGGCCTCAGAGTCACCTTCTATTGTATTCATTTCCATTGTTTCCTTTATTCTGGAACAGTGATATATTCATTATGTATAACTACTCCTAGAAAGGCTTATGACTTTTACTACCGGTTTTGGGAAATTATAGATTTTGTACAGATTCCTCTTTTGAGACTGTGAGATTTTACTTATTATTGTTGTTCTCAGCATATGTTAGGCTTACCTAGTCCCTAAGACTAGGTGCCATTACGACACCCAACAGAGGGAAAATTTAGGTCGTGACATTCAGTCATTCAGCCGTAATTTTGTCCAAACATGGGTTTCCATTCCACATGTAATGACCCGACTGATCGTTTCGTGAATTGTAGCCCCGTCTACCCATTTCTGCTTTCTTATGTGTTATTCAGTTGTATTGTGTCGTATCAAGTTGGTTGGTTCGGGTCCGGAGTAGTTTTGGAGTGGAATGAGACACTTCGTCTCTTATTTAAAAGCTTAAGTTCGAAAAGTCAACTGCATGTTGACTTATGCGTAGAAGATCTCGAGTGTGAATTCTGAAGGTTTGGTTCTGTGATTTTGGACTTAGAAGCGTGTTCGGAATGTAATTTAGAAGTATGTAGTAGATTTAGGCTTGAATTGGCGAAATTGGAAATTTGGTGTTTCTCGGTCGGTTGTGGAAATTTTGATATCGGGGTTGGAATGAAATTCAGGAAATTGGGGTAGGTCCGTAGTGTCATTTGTGACGTGTGTGCAGAATTTTAGGTCATTCGGAGGTGATTTGGTAGGTTTCATTATCGTTTGCGGAATTCGGAAGTTTGGAGGTTCTTAGGCTTTAATCCGAGGGTGATTTGGTGTTTTGATGTTGTTTGGAGTGTTCCAAAGGGTTGAATAAGTTTGAATGGTGGTATGTGACTTGTTGGTATTTTTGGTTGAGGTCCCGAGGGCCTCGGGATGAATTCGGATGGTTAGCGGAAGAGTTACGTTGGAAATTAGTTTGAGCAGCTGAAGCTGTTGCTTCTGTTATTTTCGCACCTGTTGATGGGGGACCGCAGGTGCGATGTCTGCAGAAGCGGAAATGGACCGCAGAAGCGGAGAAAGACCGCAAGAGCAGAAGTTGGACGCATCTGCGAACCCGCAGGTGCGAGGCTTGGGGCGCAAGTGCGGAAGCTGGGGATTTAAGTGAAATGCGCAGATGCGGCGTTTGTAACGAGACATTTTATGTTGGAGTTATGTAACGAGACCGCAAAGAATTGTGTGCTATATATTGTTTTCCTCTTGGAGTTATATAACGAGACATTTTATGATGAAAATATGAACATAAAAGAAAAAGATCAAGCTAATTAATAAAGCTCATATGGATTATTAAAAACCTTGCCAAGCTAATTAGAAAAGAAGAAAAACAAAGGTAAACGCAAATGAGATACAAGATAGTTCGCAAAATAAAGCTTAAAAGCGAACATATATAGGAATAACCAAATCAATTATATATCCCAACGTCCTCTTATCCTTGACATCTGAAATTTTGAAAAATAAAAAATAGTGAGTCAAGCACTTCTAAATTATTTTCCAATGTAAGAGAGTTATAGATATTGTCCCTATAATAGCTCCAGCAAATTGTGGCATATGATTCTTTCTCTATCGCATGTTATATATAGTTAAAACATAATTAATCAAAGACTAGTCCTTCTCAAAATCTTCAATTTATTGAAATATTTGGAAAGAAACATATGCTTGGTAGAGCACTGATTAGTCATAATATAATAACAAAAATATGAAAGCTAAGATATCAATAGTTACAATAAACTAAAAGATCGGTGTAAAGCGATTATTATTTCTTCTTCTGTAATTCCTTTAACCTCGCTGCTTCTTTTTCCTTCGCGTAATAATTTTGTGTTCCAGCCCTTCAATGATTCTTGCAAGCCATTTTAGTTTTCCATATGAAATCATGAAATATACAATGGATAATCCAATGAATAGTCCACTTCCATATCCCATTAGAGCAGCTTTCCAAAAATCATTGAGAAATTCAGAAGTGCTTTCCTGATCATCTAGCGCAAATACGGTATAATTTGTCTTTGATATCCGATCATTGCCACGACCTTTCGAAACTGGGAATCCACATAATCCATTATTACCTTCATATGAGTTTTTCTCAAAGGTATCAAATTGATTTCCTTGTGGAATGCATCCTATGAGATGATTGTGGGAGAGATTTAAAAATGCAAGAGACGTAAGAGAAGTAAGTTGTTGTGGTATCTCTCCTGAAAGCTGATTAGATGAAAGGTCCAGTGATTCGACTAAGGATAAATTTCTGAGTGATTTCGGTATATGACCTTGAAATCCATTATGAGATAAGTTCAACACACGAAGTGCAGTGAGATCTCCCATAATACTTGGAATTTGTCCTTCAAATCTGTTACTTGAAAGATCAATAGCGGTGTAAACTGTCAAAATTCTAACAAGTTCAAGATTTCGTCCCTTGGTTGCAAGTGTTACAGAATCTTGGTAATACCCATCTCCAAGATATCTTGGTCCCTTCAATGTTTGATTAATTGTCCTCATGGCTTTCAATTGTTGAAACAAACTCGTTGGTAAGTTTTCTGTGAAGGCATTGTAAGAGAGATCTATGATTTGAAGCTCAGGAAAGTTTTCAATCCTTGAAGTTCTAATGGCCCCATGCAATTTATTTGATCTCAAGCTTAAAACTTTCAGGTTTGGAAGAGTTCCCAACCACATCGGGAATGTGTCATTGAGGTAATTATCTCCTAAATCAAGAACTTGCAATTGTTTGCAATTAGCCAAAGATCGGGGAATTCTCCCCTCCAGTTCATTGCCACGCAAGTTGAAGCTTTTGAGTACACTTCCAATGCTAAATGTTGTTGGAAGAGTCCCGAAAAGATTGTTGTGGTGCATATCTAACACCTCAAGATGACCACTCATGTTGCCATAACATTGCGAAATTTCTCCCTTCAGATTGTTTCTACCCAAATCTAGAATTTGTAGTAATGTTAAATTGCAAATAGAAGAAGGTATCTCTCCACTAAGATTATTCTGTGACATCATCAAAACACTAAGGCCACTGATATTACTTAAGCATTGCAAAAATTTTCCCTTCAGGTTGTTTCTCTCCAAATACAAATTTTTCAATAATGTCAAATTGCAAAGAGATGAAGGAATTTCCTCAGTGAGATTGTTGCCATGGAGAAATAGAGCTTGCAAGTTTCTCAAATACCCCAATGAAGCAGGAATAGAACCATTAAGAAAGTTAGTATCTAATTCTAGGTCAGTAAGAGACCTTAGGTTACCTATTTCTTCAGGAATTGGACCGGAAAGATGATTGCTATAAAGATACAAAAGGGACAAGTTGGTCAAATTCCCCAAAGAAGCAGGAACAGAACCATTTAGAATGTTATTACTCAAATTTAGCACAATAAGAGACCTTAAGTTACCTATTTCCTCAGGAATGTGACTGGAAAGATGATTGTTATACAAAGACAAAAGGGACAAGTTGGTCAAATTGACCAATGAAGCAGGAATACAACTAGTAAGAAAGTTAGTACTCAAAGCTAGCTTATTAAGAGACCTTAGGTAACCTATTTCTGAAGGGATGGAGCCAGATAGGTGATTCTCATGAAGATACAAAAGAGACAAGTTGGTCAAATTCCCCAATGAAGCAGGAATAGAACCATCTAGAGTATTATAACTCAAATCTAGCTCAGTAAGAGACCTTAGGTGACCTATTTCTCCTGGAATAGGGCCGGAAAGATGATTGTCAACAAGAGACAAAAAGGACAAGTTGGTCAAATTTCCCAATGAAGCAGGAATAGAACCATTAAGAAAGTTAGTATCCAATTCTAGGTTAGTAAGAGACCTTAGGTTACCTATTTCTTCAGGAATGGGGCCGGAAAGGCAATTCTCATAAAGAAGCAAAAGAGACAAGCTGCTCAAATTCCCCAATGAAGTAGGAATAGAACCTGTAAGAAAGTTAGTATACAAAGATAGCATAGTAAGAGACCTTAGGTATCCTATTTCTCCTGGAATGGAACCATTTAAATGGTTGTCCCATATGTAGAGGGTCTCAAGCTTGGCTAATGAGCCGATTTGTGGTGGGATTGGTCCTGAAATCTGATTGGACGACAAGTCAAGATAGACAAGATTAGCGAGTTTGCCAATTTCAGGTGGGATGGTGCCAGAGAGATTGTTCATGCTAAGATCAACATATTCAAGAAAAGGAAGAGATGAAAAGGGAAAATCATAGAGTGTACCAATGACACCAGCATTTGTAATATTCAACCTATTTACCCTACCATTAAAGCATATAACTCCATACCAATCGCTGCATGCATTAGAACTAATTTCTGTCCATGAAGCCAATAAGGAATTATTCTGGTTCTTGAAAGTTGCTTTCCATCTTAGGAGAGCAGTTGCTTCCTCAGTGGAAGCAGTAAAAGTAATTGTAAAGAGAAATAAGAGAGTGAAAAACTGAAGAAGAGAAATTTTTTTGGGAACCATCATCATATGTTGCTAAACGATGTTGAGTTGGATTATTTTATTTTTTGATCGATAGCTGGAGCTAAATAGCTGGAGGTACTGTCCTCCTTATGGAATTGTGTAATGAGACATTCAAAGTTGAGAGTATGAACTTAGGAAAAAATATCAAGCTATCAAGCTAATAAAGCTCAAATAGATTGTCTAGTCACAAAAAGAAAAAGAAACAAACAAATGCAAACAGAAATGAGAAACATGTTTTATAAAAGAAAGCTTAAAAGTGAACATAGGAATAGCCAAATCCATTATATGTCGGTTTCCACTAGAAACACATGTTTACAATCCAGTTAGACCAACTCACAGGAGGTCAACGTTAAGATTTCCCAAAATTCGGGCAAAGTAAATTTAACTTTGTTTTGTTAGTCAATCTTAATTAGCTTATTTCCTTTGAGAATTGAGAATCGCAAAGGTGAAATTCCTTGAGAAATTTTAAGGTTTCAAACAGATTATTTACTTTTTGGAGAAGAATACGGCCCATTATCCATTGAGTTTCGAATCGTGCATGACCTCGGAGATTTCTTGGTTATTTCTGTAAGCAAAGCAAATATGATGTGAAATTGCGTGCTATATATTGTCTTCCTCTTGGAGTTATGTAAGGAGACATTTTAAGTTGAAAATATGAACTTAAAAGAAAAAAAATCAATCTAATAAAGCTCATATAGATTATTAAAAACCTTGTTAAACTAATTAGAAAAGAAAACGGCAATTTGAGGTCACGAGTAGCTTCACACAATGTATTATGACTTGTGTGCATCATCGGTTCGGGTTTTTGAGGAGTTCGGAAAGGATTTTTAGGAGTGACTCTTGAGAAGTTCGAAGTTGAAAGAATTGACCAAGGTTTGACTTTAGAGTATATGACCTCGGATCAGAGTTCGACGGTTCCGGTAGGTTCGGATGGTGATTTTGGACTTGGGCGTATGTTCGGAATTTCATTTGGATGTTTCAAAAAGGTTTCGGCATCATTTGGCGGAAGTTGGCAATTTAAAGGTTTAGAATTTTCCTAGATTTGACCATAGTTTGACTTTAAGGCTATCGGGTTTGGGTTTATGTTTCGGAACTTCTAGTTGGTCCGTTTCGTCATATGAAACTTTCCTTCAAAATTTGGTGTCATTTGGAGTTGATTTGATATGATTCGGTCTCTTGGTTGCCATTCTAGAAGTTCATTGTGATTTTCAAGTGTTTTGGTGTCCGATTCGTGATTCTAGAGGCTTTTTTGGTGTTCCGATCGCGTGAGTGAGTTCGTGTTATATTTTCAGACTTGTGTGGATCCTTGGTATAGAGCCCCGAGGGCTCGGATGAGTTTTGTACGCGTTTCGGAGTGTTGGAAGAAAGTTCAGCTTTGCTGGTGTCTCTGTTCTCGCATAAGCGAGGTTTTCATCGCATTTGCGATGTCCGCATTTGTGAGATCATTCTCGCTATTGCGACGATGGGCTGGGGCAAGGGTGTTCGCATTTGCGAACTATTTCATCGCATTTGCTGTTAGGCAGCTCCGCATTTGCGACACAAACTATCGTTTTTTGCGAAAACACTGAGCTAGCTTTTGCGAGTCTTGAGTCCTATTTGCAACCTTGACAGAGCTGGTCAGCCTTCGCTTTTGCGACACCTTTTTTGCATTTGCGAACATCACAATTACGATCCGGTTGTCACAAATGCGATATCTGAGGCTGGTATTAAGACTTTCATTTCGGGACTTAGCTCATTTTTATCATGTTTTGAACCCTAGCCTCGATGGGAGGCGATTTTGTGGAAGGACTTTCATACCAAATCATTGGGTAAGTACCTCCAATCAATTTTTAATTATATTTTATGATTATACATTAGATTTAACATCAAATTCATGAGAACCTAAGGGAAAATTTGGGAAAAATTGTAAAATCTTTCAAAATGTAAAATGATGATTTGAAGGACGAATTGATGTCGGAAATAGATAATTTTGGTATGGTTGAACTCGTATCATAATGGATATTTGGGTTCTGTAAATTTTATCGAGTTCCGAGGTGCGGGCCCGAGAAGTTGAGTTTTGTTGACTTTTTACAAATTGTATAAGGATCATAACTTTGTTAATTGAAATTATTTTCTCTTGTATTGTTTGATATATTTAAGTCATCTTTGGCTAGATTGAGCCGAGCGGTGGTGAATTGGTAAAGGAAAAGCTAAATTGATTATTGAGTTGGCCGAATTGAGGTAAGTGTCTTGCCTAACTTTGTGTGGGGGAAGCCACCTCTTAAGAATTGAGTAAATTGTGCTATCTTGTTATGTGAAAGCTGTGTACGCAAGGTGACGAGTGGGTACACGGTCTATATGTGGTATTTAACTGGTTTAGAATGTTTGGTGTCTTTCCATGCCTTTAACTGAATTGTCATAACATGTGATATGTCATGGGCGGCCTTCCAGCCATGCCCCACGACCCCTTGGACGTGCCCTGTGGCGTCCTAGCAAGCCTCCCAATGCCTAGCGCCATGGACAGGCCCCGTGGTCTTGGCTGCGCCAAGTGACAAGCGCGCATGTGCCTCTGTCGCCCCACCGATATCCCTCGCCAGCAACCAGCCGCAGGCAGATGCCAACAGCGTTGCACGTGTAGGTAACGCCGCGCGCGCAGACCGTGATGCCAAAGACAAAGTTGCTGATAACAGACCTGTTTCTACCTTATAGAAAACTAAGTCCTTTTCATTGTAAATATAGAGTAGCTTTATTTTATGTACTTCCATTATGTTTCTCTAGCTTAGTTAGGTCTAGTCTTGTAACTTTTGTTTATTTTTTTAAGCACTATTAGGGGGGATAAAGATCAAACTTTCTAGCAAGCAAACAATTCTCTGTACTGGTGTCTCTCCCTCTTGACACCGTGTTGCTTTTCTGTAATAGCTTTCTTTAATTCAATCAAGCTTTCTTTTATTCTCAATTCTCATTTATGTTCTCTCAATTGCTCTTGACATTGGTTCTTCCCGTACGGCACTGACTATCTCGTCTAGCGTACGGAGGGGACCTTAATTGGCGGATAGTAACTACACTGACATCAGTTGCTTAGCCTTACGCCGCCCTTCCAAGGAATCTCAGGAAGGCTCTGCGTAACAGATATCTCATTGTTAGTGTACTTTTATGTGCTCTATTTGACGCTATTAGCACCTACTGTACTTGTTACTCGTCATTTGGCCCTTGTATGCCTTAGTTGAAGTTATTGCCTTCCTTTTTGTGTTACCTCTTAATTTTTGACTTTCTTCTATGACCTTGTGCTTATCTGCTGCATGTCCTAATTGTTGTGATTGCATACTTAGATATCATGCACTTTACCTGTCCTATCATTTTTGTAAAGTTTGTTGTATTCCTTCGATTTTTACGTGGTCCCTTTGTTATCGTGTACTGATACCCTTGATTGTTGAAATTCTTGTAAATGGAGTAATTGAATTGTTTCCGTTGATTTAAATTATTGTACGGGGGGATCGGGTTGCACGCCTCAATAGGTGAAATAAATGAGGTGGTGGAATAAGGGAGGATATTTATATTCTGTTATTCTTATTGTACGGTGGGATCGTGTTGTACGCCGCAACAAGTGAAATAAGGGTAAATTATGATATTGATATTATATGGTGGGATCGGGTTGCGCGCTGCAACATATGTTGTTTATTATTATGATATTGATATTGTACGTTGGGATCGGGTTGCACGCCGCAACAGGTGAAATAATGGTGAATTGATATGGTGGAATAAGGGTGACTTATGATATTGATATTATACGGTGGAATCGAGTTGCGCGCCGCAACATATTTTGTGTTCCCGGTTTTCATTGTTTTCGGAGGATTGAGTTATTGTCAATGACTTATTGACTTGCCGTCATTTCCTGAGCTCTATTCCTAATACTATTTTTCTGGTGAATTGATTTTCAAGGCGAATTTACTATGTTGAGTCATTACCTCCTGTCCTGCTGAGTTATTAGTAATATAGTGATTTTAAATAAAAGAATCAATATCATGCTACCTTGTGTGACTTTTAAGTTAAAACTTGCCGTATATTTCGGTATTTACCATTTCTGATAGTTATCATATTTTACTTCAATTGAATTCTCAACTTAATCTCCTTAACATGTCTGAGCTTTTTATTTTACTTAAAAAGGAATTGTTATTATGTTTTAATTCAATAAATTCTATATTAAAGTCAATAGCTTATTTGATGTTGTATTTTATTTGAAAATATTATTTTTTGTCACCCAAATGATTTTTAAAATAAATTCATCTTTCTCATTGATTTTCTACTTGGTCTAGAAACTGTAATTTTACTTTATAATATATAAATAAATCTCTTGAACATCCTAATTAGCATTTGACACGGATATTAAGTACCGAGTAACACGTGGATTTTGCTTGATACTTGCTGGGTACCTCCGTGGTGTACTCATGCTACGCTTCTGCATATCTTTTGTGCAGAATCAAGTACTTCAGATCGAGTCGATTTTAAGACTTATGCTTGGGGTGGCTGGATTCTTCAAGGAACACCTGCTGGGCGTTCGCAGTCTCCGAAGTCACCCTCTATTGTATTTATTTTCATTGTTTCTTTCTATTCCGGAACGGTGAAGTATTCATTATGTATAATTACTCCTAGAAGGGCTTATGACTTGTACTACCGATTTTGGGATATTGTATCATGTTGAGACTATTGGTTTATTTAGAAACTTCTGGTTCATGTTTAATAGTTGTTAGTAGAACTTGTCATCGTCGCCAGATGTGTTAGGCTTACCTAGATTTTAGAGACTAGGTGCCATCACGACTCCTTCGGAAGGATTTTGGGTCGTCACAAGTTGGTATCAGATCTCTAGGTTCGTAGGTGCTACAAGTGATAAGCAGGTTTAATAGAGTTTTGCGGACCAGTACGGAGACATCTGTACTTATATTCGAGAGGCTACAGAAACTATTAGGAAATTCCACCTCTTTCATTCTTTATCGTGCGACATTGATTTAGCTCGAAGCATGTATCTTATGTTCCTTTGTATCCACTCGTGTATATTGGGCACTCGATATCATCGATGCGCCAACTGTTCGTGATGTTGTGGATTTACTACGAGGGAGCCAGGGATGCTCAAATGTTGCCTCAACGTGTTGTCC